TGACTCAAAGGATAAAGAGAACGAAGAACAAAAATGAAGACTCTAACAAAAACAAATAAGAAATTATATTATATAACCTTAATTTTTGGAGTCAAACTCTGATACTAATTGATGCGGACTCACGTAGCAATAGTAGCTACGAAACTCACGATAGATTAAATCAAACCCAAGAAAGCCAAAAATCAACGTTTGAAAGAAAGCTCGACCCAATAAATTATTGAACCAAAAAATCAAGACAATTGTAAGTGCACACAAAACTTATGAACCTTACTTGAATTGTTATAAGTCACAAGACTTTAATTTTTGATAAGTTTGGAATTAATTTGATTAAGAAGAGAAGAAAGCAGTATGTCTTGCAATAATATCCATCAAATTATGTGTTATTACAATGAATAGATTGAGTTCGATTTATATAAAACTCCTGAAAATTAATTGAAAAAAGGAACTAATATTCTAAATATCAAGAATTAACATAAAACTAGAGTTTTAAATAAATTAAAATTCTTTCCAAAAACTGAAAAAGTCGCCCCAGATTTGTGTTATGCGGTTGCATAGTTCATCCAAAAGTGTCACTCTGATTCTCTGTATAAAGGCATGCGATCACATGCTTAGGAATAATATGTGGTCGCATAGTTACTCTTTTCAGTTCATTCGTCCGCTGTTTTGATCAGGTTGATTCAGCATGTGTCTTCTTCTAAACCAAACATGAAATTTGTTCATTTCCTTGTTGTAATCAATGTTTCGTCCATTGTAACTTAAGCAAGCACTCTCGTTACTTATTTAACTTTCTTTGCCCATGACCTCGTCATTGGTCCATCTTCCACGATTAACATTGCCCATGACCTCCTCATTGGTCCATCTTCCATGATTAATAGATCCTTGTCCTCTCCTCGTTAGTTCTCATACAATGGTTCTCATCATATTGTTGACATCAAAAAATGTGCCAATAGAAGTCCCGCCACCTCTCTTCTATGTAAGCATCACATGCATACATGAACATCTCGTTAGAAGGCAAGGACCGTTGGTCGAGAAAAATGTTTGATGACCATTTGTCGAGAGGCATGACAAAATTAGGTCTCAAAATCTAGGCATAGAAGGGTATTTTCTAATTTTTAATATTATTTTGATTATTCTATGACTACTAAAAAAATAAAATAACGTACACTAAATACTAATTAATAATAGTATAATTGCTTAATAATTCCTACAATAAAACGCTTTTCAAGTTTCCAAAAACGCTCTTGAAAATTGGAAAACACTAAAAAGGAAAAAAGAGGATTTGACTGCATTTTCTCACGACTTGCCCATATGCGGCAGGTGTTTCGAAAACGTCTCACGCCTGATATGCCATACATATTCTACTAAATTGGAATTAATGCAACAATTCTTATTGTATTAACTCACTGGCCATTGAGGATGATCCTTGTGCTGGAATTCTCAATAACATTTGATTCATTTGATTACTTTTCAATATTAAGAGCAAAAAATCACTACAATTTCATTTTACATTTTTCAATTAACGCTAGTTATCAATAATTGGAACTAAATAGTATTATCTTAGTTTATATATGCCATGTCTAGCTGATGCACAATATCATCATAATCCATGCACAATCAACACACGTCCTCAAGCAATGACCTTCCACCTATTCTCAGCTAGTAAGATCACATATTCCTCAGGTATAGATCATCTCTAACATTGCAGGTCGGGTTACCATGGAGGCTCCACAACCACAAGAATTCATCGTTAAAGAGTTCCCGTAATTATGTTTAATTAGGGCCCACATCTCAGTTCAACCCACGTTCGATATTCATCTGACACATCTACATGACTAAAGTCTGGGCAAACATGGGAGTTCAATTCCTTAAGGTGAAGTTAGTGGAGTAGTTCAATATTAATGCGAAATCAGTCTTTGTCTTGAAATCGGGATGAGAATGGGGAACATGATATTTGTCCCGAACACCTGAAATAGTATCCTTTGTTTAGGCGGTATGTTTCTGGTAGTATGGTTTCTTTCTACATCAACTCTTTCCTTTTATTTTATTTTTAAATTTTAAATTATATTTAAAAATATGTACACAAATAAATAATGGGACTTGAAGTGGAGATAGTTTAAACCTTACTCTTTCTCGTCCTACCTCTCACAATTTCCTATCGGAGTGAGAAACACAGAGAGAGATTTACTATCCAGATAAATAGTATTAATTCGAAGCACGAGCAAGCAAAACATTACCACTAGCTGGCCAAGAAATATTTTGTTTTAAATTGACAAATACAAAAAGCGTGCAACATATTTATGTAGCCATAATGATAATTAACTAAGAGAATTAATGCATAAGGAAAAATCATCATCTCAATCTTCTTTATAAACGGTTTGACAGTTTAATATTGTTATCATCAAAGAGCTCTTTATCTTTTCCATCTCCTTTCTTATCCAAAGGAGTATTCTTTAAGCGCGTTTTCTCAATTTCCTTTCTGAGCAAACTTTAATTTTCACGCGACAGAACATGGATTGTACAAGCTCCTGCTATAACCAATTAGTTATTATACTTGTAGTAGTAGTAGCAGCAGTAGTTATCTACCTTTGTTTATGGGACAAAATTAGGTCCGACTGTAAGGACGTCGAGGAAGGTATGGGGAGGAACTGATTTTTTCCATGCTGAAGTTTCGAGGAAAAGAATAAATTCAAGGCATATTTTATATAGCTATATGAGTATAATAACTTTATCTATTTTTATATTAATATGAGAAGAATAGAAGAGATTTGTTAAATTTTATTTCATAAACATGTATACTCAGTAGTGTGTGGAAGAAAAATTATTCAGAAATCAAAGATTTTTTCATGGATTATAATTTATATACCTCAAGAATTTTGTGTGATGGCTTTGGGCACAACTTTTGTTCAAAAACTCGATAATTTATGGGATTCTACAATTCACACCAAACGAATTTATTAAGATCCTCAACATTAAGAATCAAATTTAACATTTTCCATCAATCTACTATCTCAAAATACATTCTTAGCAATTAAATTGGGCTCAAACATACTCTTAATGTATTTAGTTGAGACTTATTCATATTTAAATAGTGAGTTAACTTAAATAGATATGATGATTTGAACTTGATAGAGGTAAATTAGTATATTTGATCGAGTACAGCTTTAGGAATTGAACTTGAGATGTGAGATTTAATTTGATAATTATGGTGAAATCGTTAGCCGTAAGGCTTTAACCATCATATTGAATAATTTATCCTCAATTCAAATAGCACACTTTCATACAATTATTTTTCGTTTCCTTGGTTAATACTAATTTTGTTGGTGTCTAATCTCAAGGGTCACCTCCAACCTACCCCGAAAGTGATTAAAGAAACTTAATTATAAAATCTTTAATCACAATGAGAGGTCGGACCATGAGACCCACCTGGTGAGAATAGCCAAAAGTCCATCGTTATATGGAAATATCATCATGAAGAAATGTTTATGGTGTGAAAATTTCGTGTTGGAAATGTTGGTTGTTCTATCGAGTCCTTTCTCTAGAGTTAAACTATTGATTAATAAAATTGACATGACAATTATAGATCAATTTAAGAGAACTTTTGCAGAATAACTATATTGCTGGAATATTGTAATGAAAAGGGAAATTTTCATTAGGAATTGTTTTGTATTGTATTATTGAGAATATACTTAACTTGACCATGTGTAAGGGACCATTGCCCCTTCATATAGGCCTTTCAATAGGAGCTTGTTGCCCTTTGTCGCATGCCACCGCCCTCTTGAAGAGATTTGGCTGATGAGTTCGATCATGTTAAAACATCATGACACCTAGCCTGTGGTCTAGGTTACCATTGTAGCGAGTGCCCACAAAAAATTTAAAAGCAAAGGAAATACTCTACCAAAAATACACACACACACACATATATATATTAAAAGCAAAAGAAAAAGATACATGTTAGGTCGAAGATTGAAGATATATCAGTTCAGAAACTTGACAAAAATACTCTTCCTCGATTTCTAGTAATAGGCCACTGAATAAGATGGTTACCAGAATCAAGAGCTAATTTTCCTAGGATGAGATGTCCTAGGAAAGTACTGACTGAGTATTCAAATCAGTTTGCATCAGAAGTATCCCATTATGAACAGATTGTGCACAACCTAATTAGTTAAGACCCCAAACTCTCTACAAACACAAAGGATGAGAAACTAATAGAAAGTTTCATATTAATCTCTTGATTGGCAGCTAAATAAACAAAGCCTAAACTAAACTTTTAAGGTATGTTTGGTACGTCTTATTAGACAATATATAACTTTATTTTATAACTTATATCTATTCAGTCCAGTTACTTTAGTTTCACGAATGCACATTTAGTTTGATCTGATGAAACTTACAATATCCTGCACAAAGAAGAACGTATATCGAACTCAAGAAAACTGTAATTGCAGAGAAAGAAAGATAATTAATGAACTGATTTTTATGTTAAAACTTAATTATACATGAATGCAGACCTGATTAAGAAACTATTGACTAAATTTTTAGTTCTCCAAACATTTTCTTATCAATTATTGTATCAGCTGGATGAATAGATCAATCTGGTCTTGAACGAATTCTATCTAAAATCAGAAAGATGATACCATGTCTCAAGATTGATAGCCCCAATGTATAATTTGATAGAGAATTAAGTAACTAAAACTTGAAAATTCTTGACCCTTCATTAAAATCAATAACGAAAAGGATTATCCAAATTAGTGCCGTTAAAATTGTTTCTATAGTTCATATATGCTAGCACGTGAGAACAAGAATCAGAATGAAAGATAATCAGTAAGCAATCTTGAATTCTGCTTTACTGATATATGTATAAGTTGTAACAAATATTAAAGGAGAAGTATTTATAATTCATGTTCAAATTAGAAGTAATTAAGTTTTCTGTAAACTCACGCGGATATCTGTACAGTACTGTAGCACTTCAACACTGAATTTATTACCAATAAATGAGTGCTTCATCATGGATCGTGCCCCAGACGAAGCTCCAAATCCACTTCATTTTCCTTCTCATTTTCGTTCATTCCATCTTCGTTTTGATTAATAGTAGGTGGGGGACCAATCCTCAGGCTGAGGTTTGCATCCTTGTTATCCTCGAGAAGATTAAAACGTTCTTGCCTCCAAACTGCTGCCAAATAATTCTGATGAAGATCATGAGCCAAATTAGGGTTTGCTGAGGGCAAGTAGACTTGATAGTCCACTCCTGGGGCAAAATAATTGTTTGTTTGATGCTGATCACTGGTTGGAATTGGAGGGAAAAATCTTGAATCCAAATGATCTTCATTCGAATATTTATTCTGAATTGAAGATCCCTCTTGTGCTTTCTGCTTCGCCTTGGCTTTATCTTTCCTGTGTATATTCATATGTCCTCCTAAAGCTTGTGCGTTGGTGAAGCCGCGCTTGCAGAAATTACACTCGTATGATCTTCCAACACCGGTGTTGTCATCATCATTGATTTTCTCCTCAGCCCGATCACTTTCTTGGCTTGAATTTGTGTCGGAATTTGGATGTTTTTCAGGTTCCATCTCAAACAAATTTTGCTTCCAGAAAGTCTCCCTAGGAAGTTGAAAATTACTATAGCAGAAATTATTATCTGACGTTTGAAGAGAAAGGGATGGACAACAATCGGCCCTTATATTGTCTATATTTTATTTGTATTTTGGGATTTTCCCTCGAGCCAGCTTCGATGCATGCTGTTTCTTGTCAATACTTTTTTCTTAATTTTTTTTTTTTTTCAACACCCATTTTCCCCTTTCATTAAAGCTCAAAAAAAATTGTCTATAGGGCATGACTTAGTCTTCAAAAACTCTGTTAATGTGTAACAAAATTGGTTCTTATGAACTTGGTTAGAAGAACTTGATAGTGACCTCATACATTAATTAAATTTATTACTTATTCGTCAAGTTTATAGGAAAGGAATTAGGTTTCTATATGCAGTATAGTTCATAGGAAGTGTTATGTAAGTTTGATTCTTAATAAATGCTTTTGATTCTTCACGTGCGACTATAAAAGTTAACCGAAGGCTTGGGATGAATTTAGGGTTTTATTTATATAGTTATGTTATTTTATTGCGGATTATCGAATCGTTCCTCAAATTCTCAAATATTGGCAGAATCAACAAATCTTTGCTTAATCATACATAATGTAATTATTCACTAGGAGTTCTTATGGCATTGTCATAATTACTTATTTCGTGTGCAAGGATAAAAAGATTGGAAATAAAGAAGTTATTCGTGATTTCTTGCTTAAAAATTTCCCTTTTAGGCTCGTTCAATATTGACCTAGTCACTTAATTAAGAATAAAATATTCCCATGTTTTCATGCAGCATAATGTCCCCTTTTCTGAATGTCTCATTCTATGCATTATATGTAGAAAATATACATTAGAAAAGGAAAGAAAAAAGAGTGAAATGATGTAATTAAAAGTAAATATTAAAACAAAAACTTCAGACAGAACATAAAACATATGTCCGCATGTGTGTAAAGTTGTTTAGCTGGTTCCTTTCGGACAGAACAGACGGCCGAGGCAAGGTTACGCGTTAATATAATTAAGCTGTTAACTGTACTTTGACTGCGTCTTAGTTTGGATGATAATAGTACAAGAAGACGGCCATTGACAGAGATTACAACATGAATTTGAAACTGTAACGGACGTTTTGAAGTACCACATCAATGAAAACAACACAAGTGGCCTTCGTAGAATACTGTTTCCACTGAGTACAGATCATTCCCAGTTGGATATGAACATTCTATTTGACAAAATCCAGGTCGTTTTAATAATGTTTTGCATACAACCTTAGTTAATTAATTCATCTCAGTTTGAATGGACAATCCCTTTGATTGAGGATACAATATATGAAAATAAGAGCATGCATAAGCTTATATGAAGTCAAAAAGAAGGAAGCAATTTGTGACATATTTGGTATATTGATATGGGTTGTGTAAAGGCACAATGACACTGTCTAAGGCATAAATCTCGAATAAAGATGAAAACATGGATCAACATATAAGGAATTGGGTTGCTGCTTTAAACAATGGGAGTTCAAGTCTATGTTGGTTTATATTTTCATCTTTAGATTTATTTCAAGACTCTACACCTGTTTTCCACTTTACTTATTAATTTTCGGTAATTGAACAGCGATTCATTTTGAATAATGATGTTTCTCAAATAGTGTTAAATATATTTTTATCTACGACCTTCCTTCATCTTTATAAAAAGATACGGATACATAAGAATGCATTAAAAATGGATAAACATTTATTGAAAGATCACATAAAGCATAAAAGTATATGTCGATTTCTTATCAAACTTTATGATGTTTGCTAAAAAGAGTTTAAAACCTATTTTTTACTTTTCGCATATTTCTTTGAGGTAAAGGCTCTAAAATCCCCTCATTTCATTGCATAACACTTTTCAATATGAATATGGTAGGGGATATCCAACCCCTACCATATTTTCATCATCTTGGACATATAATAAATTACAAATCATTCTATTAATTGAAAACATTAAGTAATATCAAGCATGCAAACAAACCATGTATTTAACGTCTAATACAAGAAAAATCAAATCAAAGTCTCAAAACACATTTGAAACTTCCGTCGTAGCTAAGGAGAATTTAGCTTAATATCATCGAATTACAAGAACACATAATTGAATTGATAAACATCACCCAAAATACAGAAGAATTTAAAAAAAAAATGTTGCTTCATCTTAAATCATCAACCATCACTTGAAAAAAAAAATGTTTCAAGTTCCTTTTTCCTCTCTTCTTCTACTAGGGTTTCAATGTAAGAATATGTATTTTCTTGCAAGAGCGACCAACCTTTTCCAAATCAAATCTGTTCTCTAGATAAATTAATATCTAGGTTTTTGACTTAATTTTGTGCCAAAAGATGACCACTTTACCCTTAAAGTCTCTCATACCAGCAAGCAAATTGTCGCTTAAGGAAGAATCCATTAAATTCTTTTGCTCGAACAGTGAAGTCTTTGCTTAACTTAAGCAAGATTGTTTGCTTCAAAAAAAACTCGACTCTGTATTTCTCGCTTTAAATTCTTGCTCAAGAACGAGTACTTAGTCAATTCTTCATCCTCCATGACTTCCCAATCTAAAAATCAACTCCATTGCATAAAAACATCATTGTCAACGTCGTCCAAACTATGATGCCCTAAAATATATAAAATGAAATAGAAATCAATGGAAGTCCACTCAAGATATTAAACAATTATATGAATTATGCATGGATGACGATGACTGACCATTGATGATCAACATAACTTTTTGTATTTTTAAATGAATTAAGGTCGGGTACATAAATCATTTATTGTCATTTGTTCTCTTATATTTCGTTACGTCGTCTAATATTTCTTCATAAGTATAATCCACAGCCAACAAAATATCTAGCCAGGTACTTTTTTTGTTTCAGTATTATTGAATTTTTATGTATAAGTAGTAGCGTGAATAGATTAGATACACGTGTAGAGACTTGGTGCTTTATCTTAACAAGTCAATATTGTTATATGTAGTTCAAACCTTTATATATTGATGATAAAAAGTGGAAAAATGAGGAGTTTACCAAAATGGAGTTATAGGTCATAATTATTACGAAGAAGCCGAGTGGCCCAATGAAGTTTTATATATTTTTACAGTTAAGTTTTATTGAATGTATCACCGATTTTATGGTTATAGAACCATCGATAATTGGTGAATCGTCATATCCATTGCAATCCCTTTAAAAATATTATCTACATCGTATTTCTTCCCCTTCCTTGTAAAATTCTGTACAAAACTTTATTTATATGTAAAATGTCTTTATTTGTTAATACAAGAAAAGTCAACCCAGATTGGGTCAAAGTTGACGACAAACCTAGATGAAGGGAATGGGAAGCAGTACTGGGGAGGTTGGACCTGAAGATGACAAAATGTTCCGTCTTACTCCTGTCTCACCCTTACTCTACGCTTATCTCCATCGTCCTCGCTCCTGCTTGGGCTTAGCAAATTTCTTTAACTTCTATAAGTTCCAAAAAAAAAAAAATTTGGTCAACTCATCAATAAATAATGATAGGAAAATTTTTTATATATAAAAGATTAAGTATTATCCATTTCAAAACAAAAAATATTTAAAACTTCAATATGTTCCATTTCAAAACTAAGAAATAATGTTTAAAACTTCAAAAATTAGATATGAGTTATATTTTATTTATGAAATAATTAATTAAAAAATATTTTATTAATTAATTATATTAAGATCATAATTCTATACAATTTGATCACGAATTATTTCTCAATCACAGATAAAAAAAATTTATAGGTCACAATTTATTCATCGATCACAAAATCACAAATTGTATAAGTCAAAACTTAGTTAAATATCAAAATTATCAAATTAATTGATCACAAGTAATTTCTCGGTCAACATAATAAACAGTGGTTACGTATTATTTATTAGTCACAAGCACCCCATCACATCCCCACCCACGACCACCTACCACCACTATGACCACTACCAACATCACCACCATCTCACGAGACAATGCAAAACCTCTACCACAGCAACTATATACCACACACCACAACAACGCAAAACCACCCTCACAGCAAATAATCGACCCACCCCAACAAAGCCTTATTCATTTCACGTCCGACATCATTTCACATCATCTCTTCTTGTGGTTACTTCATTTCACACAAGCGTCTTCCTTATTTGCACCTCTGTCGATGACACGAAAACAACAGACGCAGTCGTCAAGCGATCACAAGTGCAACTTTGTTGCTTTGTGCATAGCGGGCCCCATCACCGCTGTGCACGAAGCAAAGACAGTGTGGGCCTCGTCACCAATGCTTCATGTACGATGACGATCTCGTTTCTTTGTCCCCATATCTTCTGTTTTCTCTTGATATGTTTGGTGTGGTGTTGATTGTTGTGGTGTGCTTGAAGTGAAGAAGATATTGGATTTGTGGTGGTGATGGCAAAGACGGCGTCGACTGCGAATTTAGGAATTTTTTTGGTGGATGTGGTGTGGTAGAGATGGTGAGTTGGTTAAAGTGTGGTACAGCGAGGTGGTGCTAGTGATGATGGTGGTGGCGGTGATCACAAATGGTGGTGTGATGGCGCTTTTCGACTACAAATAGAGAAAGGAGTGTGTGGAATAGAGAGAGAAAATGAAGAGGATGAAAATGATTAGGGTTTTGGTGTGGGTGGGTGGTTGGTTGGGTATGGGTTAGGTGGGATAAATATGTATATTTAATTTTGTAATATAATTATTAATATTTAAAATTTTAATTATCATCTGATTTTTGAAATAAAAAAATTATAAATCTTATTGCAATGGAAAGTTTAAAACTCTAGTAGGCTTTAATTTCCGCAATGATTATTCCACGCCGAGGCTTGGCATTTATTTTTAGGGAAATTATAAAAAATCAGGGGTTTAAAGATAACTTTTTAAAAATCAGGTCCAAAGTTTACTTATTCAAAAATTAAGTAATATATTAATACCCTAACCCTAATTTATCACTCTTAACTC